CCCCACACAGGGGCAACCCAATTACCCCACACAAGCGTAGCGCAACCACCCAAAAACCCGTATTAAAAAAGTCGCACCACTTTTAAAAATTAACGTTTTCCATATCTATCCCAAATGAAAAAAATGTTCACAAGTGACCCAATTGAGTATGGTTCGAAGTCGTCAAAAGACAAACCAAAAGTGAAGGAAAACAGAGAGAAAACTGAAATCATCGTGTAAGACCCTATTGCTTTTGCTTGTATTGCTCCTGCTGCATGCTTCTCATGGATTATTGTTGAAAGGCTAAACTTTGAGAATATGACTTTTAAAGAAAAAATTATTTTCATTTTTCCAAGTATTAAATTAGAATTCTCTAAAGCACTACATATACTCCATTACTAACGGAAGAGGGTTTTTTTTAAAACCTTACAGCCCCCTCTTTTTCAGTAATTAATAAAAATTTAACTTTTATGATGACAATACTTATAATCCCTTCTTTATCATCAAACTTATGCACTATAAGTTGTTATTTCAAAGTTTTATTTTGAAAATATTCTTTCATCTAGTTTGTTTCTCTAAATATTCTTTCATCTAGTTTGTTTCTCTAAATATTCTTTCATCTAGTTTGTTTCTCTAAATATTCTTTCATCTAGTTTGTTTCTCTAAATATTCTTCCATCTAGTTTGTTTCTCTAAAAAGTTTACTGCCTCCTTAAATAGACACGAAATTTTGCATAATAAAATCATAATTGTAAAACATCTAAAGGAAAAAACACATAAAATCTAAAATTAACACAAAAACCAAAAAAAAATTGAAATATGATAAAATTAACTAAAACAACATCTTCAAAGTCTAATTTGAGAGGCTTCTAGAGGAGCTAATGCAAGCATACCATCCCACTATAGAACTAGGCTTTTAAAATCACCTAAAAATAGTTGAAAATAATTCATCAAAATAGTTACGGTCTTTTCACACCAAGTTGCAAGTTGTTAGTTTGGCGTTAACAAATCTTTTTTTGGACCTTTTATTGATACAACAATATATCTACTATATTATTGCATGATTTGTTAATCTTACGGTTAAGAACCTTTGATTTCTTCATCATCTGGATCATCTGGGATAAAACTTGTAGCCACTATAGGACTCCTGACAACATGTTTACCCCCAGCATCAGCCCAACTGAGATAACCAAAAGTGACTGCTTCGTCCAGAAGTGCTGGACCTACAATAGTCAGTTTGTAACTTAGCTTCTCATACTTGGTCTTGAACTCCAACTTGTCTGGCATGACATTGACTTTTAACCCACTCATGGGAGTCACACTTACTGTGTAAGTAGAAATTCCCTCTCCAACATTGGTCACGGTCCTATGAAATTCGCGCACACTTGTCAAATTTGATGGCGAAAATCTCTCGTTGAAGTAGGCGATAAAAGAAGGGTAGTTGAGGTCAGTGGATGGGTTGGAACAATCGGTAGAAGATGATCTTGTGATAACTTGGATCTGTTTTTCAGTGAAATTTGTGGCACAAAGTAATCTCACATAATCAGTTGAATTAGCGTCATAAATGAGACCCGGGTCTAGAGCTTTGTTGGGATTAACTTGTCCAGCTCCCATGGCTAGAGGACTAGCTGGATTTATTCTATTACCTGAACCAATGTCCTTAATAGGTTCCATAGTGTTATCCGTTATATCAGCCGTGGTCATCATGGCTGATCGAATGGCAGCTGGGCTCCAATCAGGGTGTACCTCCCTCAAGAGTGCAGCCACTCCAGCTGCATGCGGACAAGCCATGGATGTCCCTGACAATATTTTGAAATTGCTGAAAATAGGCTGCGAATCGTTCAAATCCACTGAAACATTTTGAGGCCATGCTGCTAAGATTAGTGAACCAGGAGCCATAATGTCAGGCTTCAAGACCAATGGACAGCTCGAGGATGGTCCTCTAGAACTGTAACTAGCAACTCTTGGAGCTGATTTGATCCCCAGATTTGTTTTCCGAAATTCCGCGCTTGCTTGTGGACTGTTGCTGCTTTTGATGTAATCTATGATGGTTTTTCCATCCTTTAAATTCACAATCACAACTGGAAACCCATCACCGATGAATTCTTCAGTGTCTGTGAAATTTGTTATGAAGACACCTGCAGTAACACCTGCACTTCTCACATTTTCAACTTGATCACTTAAGTCGTTACTCTCATACGCACCTTGACAGACCACGATCTTCGGTCCAATTTTAATCAATTCGCTGTCACATCTATCCATGAAAACGAGTGGTACTTCGCTAAACGATGAACTCCCCAAATAGAAAGATGAGCCCGTGATTGAAATCCCATTGCCAAGTGCCAAAACTGCATCGAATTCACGGTCTAGAGTACCAGCAGCAACTGTTAACACCCAAGGTATACCATTATGTAGTGTCTCATAGAGAGGCCCATCGTTTCCGGCAGAAGTGGACACGAAGACATTCTTCTCTGTGGCTGCAAATGTTGCCAAGGCAAGAGGATCTTCATTCAAAGGTACTCCACCATAGCCTAATGACAAAGATAATACATCTACACCATCGCTAATTGCTTGATCAATTGCAGCAATTACATCAGTTGTATAGGCATGGTGATCCCACAGAGCCTTGTACACGGCTACATGTGCCCGTGGAGCCACTCCATTAGCAGTTCCTTTGGCATAGCCAAAGTATGATGCACCTTCCACGTAATTTCCAGCAGCCGTGCTAGATGTGTGTGTCCCATGGCCATCCGTGTCACGGGTCGAATTCAAAGATATTGTGATGTCGGGATTATTTGCAATTAGGCCTTTGTTGAAAAATCGAGCTCCAATGAGCTTTTTGTTGCACATTGAGGAGTTGAACTGAGCTCCACTTTGACACCCTCCTTTCCATCTTTTTGGAATTTCAGACATTCCATGGTCATTGTAACTCTCGCTTTCTGGCCAAACACCTGAGTCCACCAATCCGATAATTATACCGTCACCAAGATTGGATGCCTTCCATGCTGGGGACTGAGGTGCAAGGCCAAGAAATTTGGTTGAATGAGTTGTATCATGCTTGACAGGTAAGTCTTTAATGGAAGAAATGTAGCCTGGAGACTTTTTTAAAGCCTCCAGCTCAGATGGAGTGAGGCTAGCACTAAAACCATTGAGAACATGAGTATAACTATAAAGAAGTTCAGAAGAGGTAGTCAAATAAGTGGCAGGACTGGCCCTGGCGGTGCTACTATCAGAGACATCAAATACAGAAGCAAGAGTGGACAGGTACCAATGATGCTGGTCTGAAAAGGGCTTGGGCATCGCCGATAAATCCATGTGAACAATATAATTGTCGGTTTGTGATAATGTTCCAGTGAAATGCAGGACAGTGATAAGGCAAATCCACAACTTGTACAAGAGAAACTCGCGACGAGTAGCCATGTGCAATGTTTAGTGGAAGGAGAATAGTCTTTTAGGAGTGTTCTATGGTGAAGTTGTCTGAGCCTGTGCTTGGATAGTGAATTCAGAAGGATGATGGAGGCTCAATATCCTCCGTGTATATATAATCATTTCTTTTGTTCTTTTCTTTTCTTTACATCCTTGTTATCTCATTGTTATTAAACTTCGGATCATATATTTATTACATAAATTTGTTTATAAATATATTTAAAGTTAAACCATATATATCGATGGTCAATTAAAAAAATCTTAAAATAAATTTAAAAAATCCAAAAAAAACACTTAGAAAATAAAAATGTATACGGTAACCCTAGCCCAATTCTAAAAAAAACCCGAGCCTAACTGGTAACGCCATGAGATCCAGAAAGAATCCCGAACCCACGCTTCTCATGCACTGGACATGCTCCCAGGTCATGAGATCTGAAATATGTATTTAACGTTTCATCGTGTTTGATTTTGTCTCCCATTGAAACCTAGGTAATCTCTCTTTCAATTGCTTTGGTGATCAGGATCATTATATAGAGAGAGATGTAAGGAAATTGTATATCTAACCTTGTATATATGTTTTCATCGAAGTATATTTTCAATATGAAAGGCTTGAATCGAAGAATTACAGAGGTGGTGCAAATTCAGAAAGAAGAAAAGATATTTTCTCTAATCTTGTAGCTTCAAAAATAAGCAGAAAACTAATCTTGTAGCTTCAAAAATAAGCAGATTCAATGAACAGAAGATGGTGTAACATTAATTATTGACTACTAATTTTCGTTCATAAATCACTGCTATATCGATCGAAATGAGTGTAAGATTCAGATTTAAGATAACATTTTCCTCAAAAAAGATGATTGTGTCCTTTGAAAATGACTACTCCTTCTCGCAGAAATTAAAAAGAAAAATGCTGGAAAATGTGTGTGGATATTTTGGTGTTTGAAATGTTTTTTTGTGCTCTAGTTGGGCACATGGTGGGCTCAGACACCACCATCTATCAGTGCATCCTCGTCAAGATCCATATATAAAAACAAGTGACTTATTTTAAAGTGATTAGAGAAGATATGGTGCGGGCTCTATCACTATCAATTATTATCACATATTACAAAAAAAATAAATCATCATATTAAAGTAACTGAATACAATTAAAGAAAAATAATTATATAAGGTTGCACAAAAAAACATCTACTAATATTAAAAAACAAATATTATAATTTTTTTTATAAATCACGAAAAATTAAATGATATTTTTATAAAAAATATCACAAAAATTTCTTTAATTTCTTTATTTTAATTTTTCTCAACTAAAATTTAATACCTACTATTCAAATAAAAAATAAATCCAAGCTAAAATAAATAAGATACTCAGGTATATATGGTCAAGACCCTCCCTCATTAAAAGAAAAGGAGTATGTTTGATATTATGATAGCTGTTGTGGTTGTGATTTGAAAAAAAAAATATTTTATAAAAAAATATTTTTAGTTGAGGTTGG